AAAAGTACTATAAACTGTATAAATAATGTAAAATTAAATTGAATTTATTAGCCAATCAGACAAACTTCTGCCTATGAATTTACACCTGATTCTTGAATAGAACAATAACATTTGTTCTTTGCAGTATAGCATGATAAAAAACATTAAGTTTTTTATCGTAATCATGCGGTTTTTAAAATTCTAAATCTATCTTGTTTGTGAAATAATCATGTGTTTAATCGCACCATCTCAAAATTATGCAGTCCTGTAAATGGATAAATCCGGTTTTGGATCCGGCTTTAGATTGTGTTCTCACATTCGAAGCATAACAATAAACTTCATTTTAAAAAGTATGTTTTTAAGTTATGGCTAAAGTTTTAAAGTAATATTAGTTCATAAGAATTTAGATTAATTAATTAATAAAAGTAAATTTCTTATGTGACTGATAAATATGAATTTCATTAAATAATTACGTGGCGCAACATGTGGACATTATGTAATCATGAGATTACGACATAACTACAATATAGCAGTCCAAGTACATTCATCTAAAGATTATATTCGCTGAGAAATTTTTATTCGGTAGTAATTAAAATATCAAGATAATCTAACTAAATTATTATTTGTTTTTGTAGCCGTATAGTAGCAATTCCATAACGACTATCAATACCTTGTTTTAACCACCGAGCTTATATTAATTTCAGACAAAAAGTTCTTATATGTCATAAACAATTTGTTATAACAAAGAGTTTTAACAATAGTTTTATTTATTAAACAAGCATCCATATAGTCTCATAAAGCTCGTTGACTACTTAAAAGGATTTGCATTTATCAAAGTGGATTTTAGAGCGAAAATGAAATTTTTTTTTTAGATCAAAATCTTAAAATAAGTAATTAAAAACTTTATTATTCAAACCGCGTGTACTAAAACAAGAGTATCATTTAGCAGATAGACTTACTTGTGCAACATATAATTGCTATTATTGTTTTATATGATCATGTGAATTTTTTTTGCCTCGATATTTTTATGGAAAAAAAATCACAGTCGGAGTTAATATCACTTATGTGCTGCTATGCAGCACATGGAACTCATAAAAAAGGTCATGTTATTTTTCATCGTATGATATAATTAGATGTCATAAGATAACCTAGAATAAGCATGGTGCAACATTGCATCGTGTAACGTTTGTATTAGAAAGATTTCGAAGGTATATATTTTCTTTCTTGAAAAATCATTTGCAAAAATTATGATGTGGTCATATAATCATACTATCAAAGTTGTAATTTGTCTTTTAAAATTTTATATAAATATATATATTATTGTCATATTGCACGGTCCAATATTTCGATTTTCAAAAAAAAAAAAAATCAATATAATTACTCAATTCATATTCAGAAAGCAATGATGGTTTGCTGCATCTATAAACTTTTCATGCTAATAATTTTTTTTAGAATCATTGAAATAGTTGCAATTATCTATCCCAATGAAGTTACAAACGATCGTGTTGACATAAAAAATTTGCAAAAACGAGAGTTTAGAACATTGGTTACAAAATTTATTACTACAAGTTCATATACTAGGTATTTTGCGGTGACATCATGTTCGACACCACAAATACCCGTCCATTACACACCACCACCAATACATACTAAAAGCAAAACGCCACTACCAAAACCGACACCATCAAAAAAAAAGGATCCTTCGATTTCGGGATTGTCACGTCGTGCCATTAACTGTACTGTGATAAATCATTCATCCATTGTATATACCGTAATTACTATGACAAAAACTTTTGTGACATATGTACCTGACCCACCGACACCAATACCACCACAAGTACCGACACCAAAACTACCACAAGTACCGACACCAGAACAACCACAAGTACCGACACCAGAACAACCACAAGTACCGACACCAGAACCACCACAAGTATCGCAACCAGGACAGCCATTGCCATCAGAAGAACCACAACCAACAGAATTTCCGCAACCGACAATATCAGATTTACAACCAACAAATTTACAAACATCATATTCATCAACTCCTAATTTATCAACACCACCAATACCATCATCACCAAATATAGCTAGGTAATTTTCTTCGATGATTCTGAAATGCACTTATGGTGTTCAACATCATATATATATTATATTTATTATTGTAATATTGTATTACAATAATAAATATAATAAAAATATATATATGGTGTTGAACACCATAGGAGCATTTTAGAATTATAGAATTTTTTTATTTTGCATGTTTACAGAAAAAGTACAATATCCACTTATATTTTTTAAATCTAAAATATTAGTGATGCCAGTACTAGAAGGCCTACAAATGTCCCGACCACTACAGTTTTGACGGCTTCAGCATTAAGTTCTTTTTATAATAGACCACCTAGATTCGATTTTGTAATTGGATTAATTATTTTTGTTTTTATTATTAACCAAATTATTTAAGTCTTCAATATATGAATATTATTCTTTATTCAATGCTTTACTATGATCAGTCTATAAAATAAATCAATTATTTATGGTACTTTTTATATGATAAAATTATTGATCTTATTTCATATACTGATAGTAAATCATTGAATAAAATCGTTATTGCTCCCGTATGCATCAACTACTGTATTTTATGTTCTCTTCTGATCGTTCGGTAACTTAGCCGTACCGGCTGGGTTACCAACCAATAACTGCTGTATTTTATGGGCGATGATTATTGCATACTTCGCATACAATAACTATATAATATTTCATTTCTTATTGTAATGGCAACTCATGTATTAATAAAAAATATTTCTTCTTTTTTCATCAAATTTTTTTTTAACATCGTATTTCTTAAAGCATTATCAAATTTTATAATTTCTGCTTGCATCTTAGCATTACTATATAAACAAGTCTACTAATAACGTTCAAAATAATTAAATAAGGTAACTACGTGACGCTGTCACGCGAAAACTAGGAACGGATGCACTAATAGATGAATTTGAATATTTGAAAAACTAAAAAGGGTTACAGTCAAGATTGGTGTTCAAGATGTGCTATACATGATGTAACGATTGAGTGAATTAATTAAATAAGGAAGCAGTTAATCGCATATTAAAAAAAAAAAGGAATAGTAATAATAGTTATTGTGAATATTATCCGAATGGTCTCGTGATCGTACGGGTCATTGGTTATCCGGAGGGTAATTGCAATCAATGACGCAATAATGCATAAAGTACGTTGTAAGGGATTTCTGAACGCGGCCTAGATTTTTATTTTTTATTTTTTATTACTTTATTTATTTATCTTTTTTATAATCAACTTTAATTAAATTCCATTACTAATTACAAACAAAAAAATATCAAATAAATGCAAGACGTCAGTATTCATATATGCATATATATGTTGTGCCTCAGACTAACGCTTGCCTCAGATGTCGATCGGCCTAAATTAGATTAGGGTTAGGGTAAAAGTTTGGGAGGATTGGGGTATAATTTAGGCCAACCATGTCGATCAGTTAATGCTGGCCAAAAAAAATCGATATCTGAGGCAAGTGTTAGTCCGAGGCACAACATATATATATATTATTTAAACCGCAATTAAGCGTACATTATTATATTATCTTTAATTCCATACAATATTAATACGTATTTAGACCTAATTTAAATCTTTTTCGCCATCAAACATGTTGTAACTTACGATATAAGTATTAAAGCTGGCCGAATCATATGACAATTTCTACCAGCATTATGATAAAACGGGATTACAATTATTTTAATCTGATGCAATATCAATACATATCAATTTATTTTGCTGATACGTACGTATATAAGTTACAATAGTTAGCTTCAACCGCTGCCACCAAGTTGGCCTTGGCTAATTATATGTTACGACACTATAATTTATTATTACCGTTACACTACCATATTGGAGAGATCGCAAGCGTCAACAAAATTAAATCAATAATAAAGAAATTCCTAGGTTATTATTACATTTCAAGGTTGATACAAATAATCCCAGTCATTGGAAACTGGGTGGTAATTAGTTACTACGTATGTATTATCGTTATTGTCAATAAATAGAAAATATTTACCTTTGTCGTCATTAAAAACCGGAAAATAGCATCAAGTAAGGACCAATGACGTTATATTGCGGGTACTGTACAAAATGTAGTCATTACAAAGTATTTTTGTTTCACAAACATTATATAAAAATGTGAGTTCGCTTACAGTTCTCGAAACTAATTAAACTTCCAGGCATGAAAGATCTATCCTGTCCAACTACAATGACACAAAACTCACACCTTAGCGAGAACGGAAATGAGCATCTGGATAATTTGCTTTTCCGTCTCACTACAGAATATAAAAGGCCTTTCACTGGCTGGGATTACACCTACCTTAATGGTCGCATGGAAGAGAAACAGGTCGATCTACCTTGGAATTACGAAGATACTGTTAGAGAACTGTTACCTGAGTGTAAAGGACTCTTAGACATAGGTACAGGTGGTGGTGAGTTTCTTGCTTCTTTAAGTCCTTTGCCAGAAGATACTTGCGCGACTGAAAACCGCGCTCCCAACATTGACGCCGCAAGACGACGCTTAAAGCCACTTGGAGTAACTGTTACAGGTATGTTTATATTTATTTGCCAAGATATTTAGGTGTAACGCGTTTTTTTAAAAAAAAAATTGATATAGATCGTATTCTTTTTTTTTTGTTTTTTAGCTGTTACTGATTATGATGTTCGACTTCCGCTTAATGATTGTAGATTTGATTTAATTATTAATCGCCATGAACCTTACATTTCTTATGAAGTTCATCGGCTTCTTAAATCAGATGGTTTATTTGTCACACAACAAGTGGGTGAAAGTGACAATATGGAATTGAATCAACTCTTAAACGCACCAGAACTTCTTGGGCACCGCGAATGGAATTTAGACCACGCTTGTAACGAATTAGAAAATGTTGGCTTTTCTATTTTATTAAAAGATGAGGCGTTCATGGAGACTAAATTTTATGATGTTGGTGCGATCGTGTATTATTTAAAGGCTGCCCCTTGGCAAATTGAAGATTTCTCTATTGAAAAATATTCGGAACAGCTTGTTAATTTACATCATTTAATTCAAAAAGAAGGGTCCCTTTCTGTTAAGAGTCATAGATTTTTTATTGTAGCTAAAAGGTAATATTTAATAATTTTTAGGATACTAAAAAAATTATTGATTTGAAATCATATTACAAAAACTACCATAGTGGCTACATGCCTTTATACGCTTTAGAAGGTTGGTTACGCGAGCTGCTTGCTTGCGTATTAGTTATATTAGTCAGAGTATTCTCAACCTTCTATAAAAAGGAAACAAAATTAGCTAAGAGTTGTCCTTTATATTTAACATTACCGCATTTTTCCATATCATGCAATTTATGTAATTTAACACTTATAACCTTTTCACGTGTATTACTAGCTTTATATTACAATTTATACAATATGATCGTTCATATCGAAATTATATTTTATTATTTTCAGCAAAATGAAATTAATTCATATATATAACAACAATAAATTCAATTATTTATCAGGTCTAACTGAAGACAAAAATTTTATGGTTGGTTAAACGTGTCTTTTTTTTTCGCATCATTATCAACGTAAGTAATTATTACACGAAAATTTTTTTGAAATTTATTATAAGCAATATTTTTTTAGGAACACTTACAGGGCAAAACGCTGTTCCTGACGGATCGGCGATAGGGTAAAAAAAAAAAAGGTCATATTTGCGTAGTGCCCTGATAGGAGTGCAAGAAAGAACCTTGTAGCCCATATAATTCGCTTTAAGTGTGTAGTATTTTTGAGGTTCATTGGTTAGGAGTATTATGCTCGCACCTTTAATTAAGAACGATATGTAAATTTAATCCATCAGGAACAGTACTGACCAAAGAATTTATTGAAAAACGAGTTATGGTTATAAATCGGTGAATGATTACAGGTTTTGCATACAAATTGACAGTCAAATTCGCATATAATGCTCTGATTAAATCGCAATATCTCGCGACCTAGTGATCAAAATCACATAATTTGGTACCATCCGATTCATCTAGATTAAACGAATCGAATTGTCTAAAATTACGTGATTTCGATCACTAGATTACGGTTTAATTAAAGTGTTATGTACGAGTTTGATAGGGATGTTAAATTGCGAATCCAGTCCGCTCCGATCCTAGGATCGAAAAAGACAGCTCTGGACTCGATCCTTTAAATCACATTAAGATACAATACATTTTATAGGACTAATTCAATTCAGGATCAGATAGTGATGGATCAGTCCTTCCCGGTCGGTCTTGATCCGATTTAATAGTCATAGGAAGAAGTTTGTCTGATTGGCTAATAAATTCAATTTAATTTTACATTATTTATACAGTTTAGAGTACTTTT